ATTCGTTTTTGATAATTATTTAGTATTGCATGTTATTGTGCCGTAAGGCAAATTGCTGGAACTTTCCGTAATTGAGTGCCAAATCGCTTCAATAGTTTAATGGATCTCCAAAACCGCTGGATTTTTTCCCAAAATTTTCAGTTCTTGATTTCGCAATTCAAATCAAATGTGTTTTGAATCATTCAAATTGGATGCTCCTTTCTCTCAAATTCTGAATTACTATTTTTGACACTTTTAGTATCTTCGAATCGGCTGGACCTGCCTTTGCTAAATAATCAGCACGTCTCTAAATTACGACTAAATATATATTTCGGTTTTGAGCTCGAAACTTTCTACGCCACATACACTATATAATACATTCAAAATTTGATTTAATGATATAGTAATATACTAACATTTATATACTATGTTACTATATTACTATATCATTAAATCAAATTTTGAATGTATTATATCGGTCATATTCGGAGAGGTAAAAAAGTTCTAAAGTTGAAGAGCCATCTTTTTTCAACATAGCACTTTTAAGCCAATATAGAACTAACTATTAAGACGAAGATAATATATCTTCAATTCATTTTAAACTGGCAATTGGGACTGATTTAGTGATCACTAAATCAACTTTATCATTAATTATGAAATAATAAATTAATTATATATATACCTATATATAATCATTTCATTCAAAACTAGTAATTAGAATTAGTAATTATTGAATCAACTTTGGTAATAATTTGCAAATAATTAATAAAATAATTACATATATATATTAGTAATTAAAATGAAATATTATGTGAATAATGTGTTCAAAGTAAAATGATGATTAAATGTAATATGTAAATTCCACAAATTCATTAAATGTCCTTAGCTGGACATTTGTAATTAAGAGATAATAAAAAAATGTAACATAACATAAATTTCACAAAATAAAGCAGTTATTTTATAATTATCATTGGCATATAAAATTAGATATTTGTAAGGAAACCGAGTTAATAATAACACTTAATAAAAAAATCGAAAATGAAAATTTTTATATATCTTTACGTTTCAAAACCTTCTGAACATTTTGGCATACCTTAGAAAAAATGGATGTATGTGTATGAAGTGTGTGTGTATGTGTGTGTGTGTGTTTGTGTGTGTGTGTGCGGATACAAATTTTTGTCGACGATTTCGGGAACACGGATGAAGCGATTTGAATAATTAGAAAAACATACGATTCGTATTGATAAGGAGACGTGCTGATTAGTTTTTGTCGAAGATATGGGACAAGTGCCAAAAACGGTAACTCAGTTTTTAAGAAAACGGAGCGTCCGATTAGATGAAAAACTGATCAAATTTTCAATGATCATTAGACATATGCACATAAAATTATCAGATATTTTATAGAGATTTTAACAATTAGTATAAATTTTGTTTGCATTCCTATGGCTTCCGTAGCAATGTTTATCCGTTAGACGGCGACGCGGCGCTTACGCGCTTCGATATTTTGTCTCTATGCAGTTAAAACAGTACGAATGCTTTGAAAAAAAAATCAGAATTTCCACAATATTTCAAAATAAATTTTTCTTTAAAAAGTCTTTTTTTTCAAAAAAAAGTAAATTTTTGTCAAAAATTTATAGTTTCTCAAAAATCTAATTTTTTCAGAGTATTTTTTTTGCAAAAATGTTGATCTTTTAAAAAAAAAAAAAATTTTGGTACGGGAAGTTACAGCAATTTGCCTTAAGGCACGATGCCATGCGCCCCACTAGTCTGTTACTAAATTACAATCTGTTGTTTTTAAACACATTGAGTAAGTTTAGAAGTAACATGTAAATAAGTATGTAGAGATCTGAAGATTGCTTAGTAATAAGGTTCTTCGTGGTTTATAAATTTATATGTGCAGTTATATAAAGTGTAGATCCGAACGATATTTCTGTTCATCTGATTGCATGAAGAATTGTTTTCGCCAAATAGAATTATTTTCGAGTACGATCATAATTTATCTCACATATTTCGTAAGAATTATATTATGTTTTTTAGCCAGTTCATGACTTAAACATGATGTTTAATATTATACAATTTTTAAAATAGTGACTAGTGATCGAATACATTTTCCAAGCGTTTATTTCTTCGCATGCAGTAGTTTCCTTCATACAATATTGCTCGTGACTGAACTGTAGAAAATAATACAATCTCAGTATTGTACGTACAATAGAAGTTTCAATCAATCGAGTATTGAATGGCATAGTCTTCCCAGTTCCAGTCAGAGAAAGCGTTATTTCTACAGCTTTATCAGCGGCGTTCGACCGTGGCTGCTAACGTTACATAATGCTTCGATGACAGTGATCAACTTTTGTTCAGAGCCCCCAAGGTGCCGTAGTGAATTTCTCAATAGAAATTGCAGTAGATGAATTCATTAATAATTGCTACGGATTTATACTGAACTTTCAGGTAGTTTGAACCTGCGACATAAAATGCTAGATTTTTATGACCTTTCCCGGTAGATCATTTAGCACCATATTAAATTGATTACATGCAATACATGTCATTATATTAGTTTTAACTTCCCGTAAGGTAAGACATTAAATTGTCCAAAAATCAAAAGTGATTTTTTGCATATATTAACGTTTTAGCAGTTTATGAACATTTTGGCATTACTTAGAAAAAAAAATGATGTGTGTATGTATGTACGGATACAATTTTCGTACGCCCGAATGTACGAATTAACCGATTTGAATGATTCAAAAATTAATCGATCCCTATTGATAGGGAGACGTGCTGATTCATTTTTGGGAAAGACAGATCCAGCCGTTTCGGAAATACGTAGAAAATATAAATTCAGTTTTTGAGAGAAAGGGGGATCCGGTTTGAATGATTAAAACAACATTAAATTTGTAATTAAGGGAAGACCTGTTGATTAGTTTTTGACAAACACAAGTCCAGGCGTTTCAAAAATACGGAGCTAAAAATGCAAAAAAAACATTGTGCTTCTGTTGATAGATCAGTTTTTCAGAGGCATTTTTTTTTATTTCATCTTTTTTTTAATCTTCAAAAAAAAAATTATACATAGGTACATGAAATTTACAGATATTTTCTAGAGATTTTGAAAACAAGTACAAATTTTGTTTACGCGTTTTGATATTTATTTCGTCTCTAACGCAGCACGACCCTTTGGAAAAATTAGATTTTCAAAAAATTTAAAATACAAATAAAAACTAAAAATTTTCAAAAAAGTCTGAATTTTTCAAAAATTTCAAAATTCTACCTCAGAAATATACAGAATAAATTTCTTAATAATTTATTTCACCGCAAATGAATTATTCTCTAACAAAATGTTTGTATATTAAAGTACTACCGCAAAATTCCAAGAAAATATGCAATAGAAACTTTATACTCACGTGTTTACTTGTATTATGCTATGCTTTTTGCTGCTAAATTTTTAAGCTTTAAGCCCAACTGTGTATGGTTGGATTATTTAACAATTTTCTGATCAAGTTTGTCTCGGATGATCTTTACATGTACCATTTTATTGCAGTATTTAGTTAATTACTTTGCTACTTGTCTGTTACACACAAAATTTTTTGCGTATATATATCTATATATATATATATATATATATATATATATATATATATATATATATATATATATTCCCAAACTAAAGTAAGAGAACTTATTTCCAGTTTTTTTTTTCAAAATATAATATGAACTACAACTTTTTTAAAGCTGTATATATTAACGTTCCACATTTTTTATTGCAAATAATTCCCTGTATAGAGAATGTTTAATTAAATATGAAAATTTGATATCAATCAAAGAAACATTCCATTACATCGATTTTTAGAAACAAATAATTTTTGGAAAGAGCGAATACTATGCGAATAATATATTTTATATAAAAAGTAGATATTTAATTAATCATATCTAGCGACTAATAAAAAAAATTCATTATACATCATTCGAATAGCAATGATCATACCTCAGATAATAATGTTATAGATATTTTTTTATTATTAACAAATAATACAAATGAAGTACACAATAGCATTCCAAACAACATAATAAGCACAGATTATTAAGTCATTTAATGTAGTAATTAAATTTACAATCTAATTTAGTTTATATATGTGTATATATATATATATATATATATATATATATATATATATATATCCGTCACGTTCTGAAGAAAACTACTGTATTAATTTTGATGTTATAATTTGTACTTGTAGAGCTCATTACTTTCGGTAAATGCAATTAATTGTAAAATGACTAAGAATTTTGAAAAATTAACAATGAGTATTCAACAATTGGCATAAGTTTTTTAAAAAGATTTTTTTTTAAGAAAACGATAATCCAAATATTTTGAACATTTTGGACCTTTTGTTATTGATGTGTACCTAATTTGTAGTACCTTTCATAGAATAATTTTCGGTGTATAATATTAATCAAAATTATTATATATATTATAGTATTATATTATGTACGTATTATGTATTGCAAAATATTATATTAAACTTAAATTTATTATTTTATTTAGTCAATTTTATTCATTTTAAACTCTATTTGCCCTATTTTGATAATTTACAACATTTAACATTTTAAATTGTTTATTATGTATTTCCATCATTTTTTTTATTATTGAACGGGAATTTTTAGTATTTCACTTTAATAGTATAGTATCATATACGACTAGTTAAAATTTCTGTTTATTTATATACTTCACACATTTTAATGTTGGGAACTAGATTTACATCTCAGTTTTGTTAATTAAAGAATACATTTTACTTTTACATTATAATTATTAGAATATTGCAATAAATTATTTATCAAATGTAAGATCAACTGTGGAGTTGTTTTTTTAACAGGTCATTATTTTAATTCGATGATTTTTAAAAATGACACCTGTGAATTTCCAAATTCGCTGAATATTTCAAACTGGACAGTAATATGTATATGTACATATATATATACATAAATTTATATATATATATATATATATATATATATATACTAGTTATTACCTTCTTGATCCTGTGACTTCCTCCACATTGCATCGGCCTCTTCGCCATCGGCAGGGTCGAAGCGTCCAGTAACTAGATGCAGCGTTGCGAGCCCAGCCTTCTTCTGGGAACAACAGGACCTGAAACATATAATAAATTGAAACTCATTCATAAGGAAAAATTGTGTTAAATACATAGATTAGAGCGGGACACAAAGGTCCAATTTGACTTTGAACAATTATATTGTGAGAACAAACCAAGTATAGCAACTAACCCATAATAAACGAGCAACTATCTCACTAAGTTCCGTAATATCCTAGCTGAATCATTCTTGAAATATGTTTTTTTTTAGTTGTTTTTTTTTCAAAAAAATTGTCTCCTCGTCCTTTTTACCCTATAAAGTGGAACGGCCAGGGGCCAAAGAATTCTAATTCTAATTCTAGCAACGCTATCCAACCCAGTGGTTTTCAATCCTTCTCACCGCGCCCCCTTGATTAATAAAAAATATTATTGCGCTCCTCTTAATTATGTCAACTGATATTATCAGACTACAAATTAATATGCAATATTATTATTAAATATGCATAAAAACTAATTATTTTTTGTTCATTTTTTTAATATCATTACAAAAACTTTGGGTTATATTTGAAAATAGTAAGTGTAGGTGCTCCCTTTAGAGCAGCTTGGCGCCAGCCTGAGGTGGCGCGCCCCACTGGTTGGAAACCGCGGATCTAACCTATACAAAAATGAATTTAATGCTTACATGTTTCATAGAGATAACACTGTATGTAACCTGGATCTGGTATTTTGTCAGAAATATTCATCGGCAGAGTTTGAATTACTATTAATTTAATTCATCTCTTGTAAAATTTATTTTTTAAACTTAATTTACTTTTTTAAGTATTATTGTTTATCTCCCAATATGGCATGGTTGTATATCTTTTTTCCTCTACTTTCAAATATTGTTGTTACAAAATTCCTAACTTTACTTATTTTAGAGATGTCGGTGGTGGATTTTTTTACCCCCGGACCTTTAAGCCTTGCTTTACCTCGATTAAAAGTTAGAACCTATTAATACATCTATAATAATTATAATATTTTGAAAAAATATAAGAATGTATAAATTTTTTCAAGAATGAACATAGTTCATTATTTCATTATCATTATTTTGATTTGGCTACAATTTATGTACGACACAGAAAGTAGTCTGCACAAATACTATCACAGAAATGGTAGTAGGCAATGGAGATAAAATTAATATTTTTATAGTGCATGTAAAACGCAAATCCAACTTATACATGATTTAATGAAAACTTCAAGAATTTATTACTGCTAAATTTAGCAATATATAAAGTACCTTGAAAACATTTCATAAAGATATTTCTTCAAGAACATACATTTTTCATACTCCACCGCTAATATCATATCCTTTAATATGAATGCATCAAGTTATTGTAATAAACTACCATCCACAATCTCTATAAACAAATATTGCTATACTTTAAAACGTGCTTTGGGTATAAAACTCTGTTATAAATTAGGAAAATCTTTACTCAACGAAGTGCAATAAAGCTAAACAACAATGCTTCCTAGTTCCAGAATGAAAACATGAACGAAATATATGAGAGAAAAAGCAGGAGAAAGAAATTCATACAATATCGTAGAAAGTGAGAAATTCTATAATAGTTGCACATAACTTTTAAAAATAGCACGTCACGATATAGAAGGGAAGCGTCATTGAAATGTTATTTTATTTTCAATAAAAACTACTCCGTGGAAAGGGAAAAAGAACGAGCTTCAACTTTCAACATCATAATAATTACAGATTCTCCGGAGTAACAGAAGCGGAGGGAAGTCGAGCAAGAAAAAACACTATAAAGAATAAAAATGAGCGTTCAATCGATATTATCGTTCGCAAAAGTTGCGCACAACTATTTTGAACGATGAACGTTTCGATAAATTAGGAAGTCCTTCCGCGGAGATGGAAAACTTGTGCCGTTCCATCGACAAAGACTGTGGAAAAAGTGTGCAGAGGTTATTTTGTAAACGGCGAAGTTTTTAAACAAGCTGTGTCGGATAAGATATTGTCCAACTTCTATGGAATATAATAAATGGTCTTTCCAAGTGTTGAATTACGACGTGATGTGCGGTGAGTTGAATAAGGCAATGTATCATTTTGGGCATATGAAGATGTTTTCATTGTACCTTCAATAATTACATAATTTAAAGCCTTTTGGATGGTTAAAAAGTTTTTACTTTGCTGTCCACACCCATGAATTCTATGAGTTACTCGCGTTCTAAAAACGAAAACATAAAAGTTCAATAGATGGTACAAGAGCTTATCATCAATAAATTATGGTATATATACAAATAAGTGTTTATATATAAATTTATATATATACATATATATATATATATATATATATATACGAGGTCTGTTCAAAAAGTACCCGGAATTACTAATAATTAAATTTCGCGGGTCTGGAGTGTCTGATTGTCAAATTTTTTTTTTATTGTGTTGGTATACATGCCCCTAAAGTATGATGAAATTTTCAGCTATATTCACTGTTTACTTTGTCTGTGGTAGTCGCTAAGGTTCGACGTGTTTTTCTGAGCTCGGCGATTTTTACAATGGAAGAATTGAAAAGTCAAAGAATTTGTATTAAATTTTGCGTAAAAAATGAAATAAAGTGTTGCAAAGTGCAAAAATTCACCAGATATGGCTCCGTGTGACTTTTTCCTATTCCCAAAGTTGAAGAGACCCATGAAAGGACGGCGGTTTTCCTCGATTGAAGAAAATCGCTGAGAGTGCTCAAGGACATATCAAAAAGTGAATATCAAGGGTGCTTCGAAAATTGGAAAAAACGCTGGCATAAGTGTATTATATCTGGGGGGGACTACTTTGAAGGGGACCACATTAATGTAGACGAATAAATAAATATTTTTTTTTGAAAAAACGAAAATTCCGGGTACTTTTTGAACAGACCATGTATATTAGGGTGGTTTTTAATGTGGACATTTTCGAATTTCCTTGCTCCTAAGGGCTCAAATAGTTCCAAATTGATAAAAAGCAATTCTCTGAAAGTTTTAGCTCTTAATATTGTCTTTTAAATAGAGCGCAATTCAATCAAAGTTTTGTGTGGAAAAACTTTAGCAGAGCGTCAAATTTTCAATAAAAAACGACAGGAATTTTCACTTCTAATTCATTTGTCACTAAGTTATATCTAAAATTTTTTTTTTAATTTTCAAAATTTTTTCCATGCTATTTCCAGACGAAGTTTGATTGAATTGCGCACTATCTAAAAGTTAATATTAAGAGCTAAAACTTTCAGAGAATTATTTTTTATCATTTTGGAAGCATTTGAGCCCTTGGGAGCAAGGAAATTCGAAAATGTCCATATTATATATATATATATATATATATATATATATATATAGGTTGTCAAATATCTCCCTTCCGCCTTTTTGTATTATAAACCAAGAGCAAAAAAGCGGAAGGGAGATATTTGACAACCTAATATCTTCCCTTTTAGACCATTTAGCGGTAATCTTTTTTTTCTGTAGGTGGTGGTGAAATAATACATTGGATTGATTCGTATTTAATAATTTAGATTTCAAATAATTTTGCACGCGTGAAATATTTTGGTAAATTTTAAAATATTTATAACAATTCATATTTTTCATTATTTGTATGCAATAAAGTATTGTTTCGAAAGATTCATATGGCTAGCGTTTCAATGAACACACCATCCTTCGGTAATATTTTAATACAAATTTTCTTATATTACTTAATGTTTCAAAAAACAGTATAGAAAATATAATATGTTTGAAAAAAAAAGGAACATATTAAAAAAATAGACAATACAGTTCCCAAATAATATACTCTAAATATACTAAAATGCATTAAAAAAATTAAAAGGCATTAAAAAAATTAAAAAATAAAAATTTTATGTTTTCTATGATTTATATAAAACTGTAATTAGAGATAAGAAATATAAATTTGTTTCCAAAATTCATTAATTTGCATCACACTTTCCGTACTATACATAACTATATATAATTTAGAGAATCTGAAACATTTACTCTGTATTCAACATTTAAAGCTTCTAATTTTGCTTCTAAATTATATTAAGATGAATAACTAGTTGAACGATCGACAGTCTTCAAATGTTATTACAATAAAAAAAGTTAAATAACTAATGAGAAATTATTGGAAACTATGAGCTTTTAGGTGAAAGAAGTTTGAAGAGAAGAAAGAGTTTGAAGTGTAATATAGAACTTTGGTAAAATTACGACCATTTTAGTTATTGTGGGAATTTTTTATTAATTTTGTTTATTCGAACTTTGAAACCGTAACCGTGGAAAATATTTATAAGATCACAGTAAAAAATAATATATATATATATATATACACATACACATGAATCATCGTGTTTTTGTATAATTTTGTAAAATTGGTTTCTTCTGGTTATAATGGTACCTACTGTGAATCCATTGTCAAAGTATACTGAGTCATCAATTAATTTTTTTTCAGCCCAGGAATTATACATTAGAGTATATAATTTTGTTGTTGATATATATTAAAACGAGTGTGTTAAATCGGGCAATATCACCAAGTAAAAAAACTAAAGCAATTATGAAATCAGGTTTATTAATCCATACGTTTCAGTCTTCATCGAGACCGTCATTCAGTGAGAAAATACAAAAGCTACTCTAATTAACAATTGTAACACCAAAATATCAATAGTTCAAACATTTAAAAATATTTATGAATTAGAGATAAACTAAATTTGTGTACATAGCTGTTGAATCTAAGCACTGAAAGCACTGAAAGTTGCTAGAGTTTTTTTTTACTTGGTGATATTGCCCGACTCAACACACACGTTTTAATATATATATATATATATATATATATATATATATATATATATAATTTATCAGTTACCTAGTATATATATATATATATATATATATAATTTTTTTTCAATTTTTTACCTTAAAGATCCACTAATGATGACATCAAATTGTATGTCGAAACGTTTGGAATTAAAGATTATTTTATGAATCTTTGTTTGATATAATAAAAAAATAATATTTTATATATACATTTTTATTTAATAAATAATTTTTACATTTTTTG